CATGATAAAGTTAGCAGCCTATCACAGGCTTGGCTTATGTGTCTTTGGGTTTAGAAAAAACAGCAACATTTTTCAGTATTGAGTATTACTTTCAGCAGAGTTCAACATCTGGAGAGATGCAAAGTTTCATGGAGCTTTCAGTGACTGTGACCGGTCTATGGACTAAAACCACAGCGGCCTTTAGAGTGCAACAAAAAAGTGCCACCTAGCTGAACCTCGAATTTCAACAAAGCTAAAGGAAAAAGTCATCCCAGTTATTAACGAGTAATCTTTGGTGAGGCAGTGGAAAATCACCACAGCAGTTGAGTGTATGCTGTACCACTAAAGACGGTGCAATTTAACTCACCATCTTTAGGATTGCAGGCACTGCAGAAGCAAGGGTAGAATAGCTATTTATTGTATGCATTATTTTCTCTGCCAATCTGGGAAGTATATACTAATGTTTTTCTGCTGAATCTTTCAATGGCATGCAGATAAAATCAAACAAGTCTGAGAGCTTTTATCTGTGTCACTGGTGCATGTTGCAGATAATGTGTTTTGTCTGTGTCTGTCGTTGAGTTCAGAGAGAGAGGGAGTGTTATGGGTTCAGGTGGTGCTTCTCTGTTCTGCCAGTGCCTCTGGGAGCCTGATGTTTCCTCCAGAGTTTGTCAGTAGTGAAAATAAAGAGCTCCTTTGTATCTAATTTGAGGAGTGAAAGACAATCCATGTGTCTTTGAGGGGTGCACATGTTTTCGCATTTACTGTAGCTGTGGCATCCTCTCACAATGAAGCTATTATATGTAAACTCCTCCTACCGATGAAGATGCAGGTGGACAGGCCAGCCAGCTGGACATCACCCACTGAGGTCTTTCCTTTGACGTAAAGGTTGCACGGATATGTCCACGCAAGCTGCTGCAGAATCAAAGAGACCGCTTTGTCTGTCGCCGACGATGAAGCCGCCTCTCCCTCTGTAGTATGCTGTAATTCAAAGCAGTTGGCCTAAAGAGAAAGCAGCCCTGCAGCCTTGATTTCTTACAGCAAACGAATCCTTTTTAGCGGTTTTATTTCGGGTTGTAAAACAGTTTACGCTCAGTCACAATCTGAGGGTTATCTCAATCTGTGAAGATAAAGCTCATTTTGTTTTTTTGTTTGGTCTGTAGCAGATGTTTTGCTGAAGGTGTTAGATCAGATTGGGCCACAGCGGTGATGAGTCTCGTATCCAGATTACGCTATTCAAGCTTTCTGTTGTCCTCTCCCTTATAGCTACGTATGCTTGACTTGTGTATAATATGGGATTATGTGCTTTTGTGTCATTTGAAACATGTTTTTCACCCCTAAAAACACAAGCTGTGTGTACTAAGAGTCATCGTATTGCTAAGAGGTGTTTCTCAGACAAATGTTCTGACAAATGAGCACCTGTGGTGAACAAGTCATACTTCATACTTAGTACCAATAATTTCATCTATATCTTTACCTATGAAAAAAATAGTTGGGACGATGTCCGTGGAAGCTGTCAGCAACAAAAACTTTACGTCTGGAGTCTGTAGGTGGCCATCTGGTGGCATTTAAAACAACAAAGCATGCAGATTCCTGCACTATTGCCGTGATCTGAATTATGCTAGTGTTGTGCGAACAGTATAGATGCAGGGAAGGCCTCCCAGTTGTTCAGCTGGGGGGGTCTCACAGGATATCACTGCCCACACTGCTGACCATCCCCTCTGACACAAGCATGGAGACATCTGCACTGAGGCCACATCTGATTGCAATTTATAGACAATTATTATGGTTTCAGATTGAAGAGAAGGAAAAAGAAAACCGTAAGCACAAGCAATTATGGAGATCAAACCCTGCAACCATTCTCAGCAACGACGGCCTAATTCTGTTGTTTCCACCTCACTGCTTCAAGACTAGAGACATCTTTGTGGGTTCATTTAGAATCAAGTTCATGTTATTTAAATCAGTGTCTAAATTCTTCCTGCTACACATAAGTGGCCAGAATTACCCATGTAGCCTGGCTCAGACTTCTTAACACTCTTGGTGCATGATGTGTTTTTTGCAATTGTATTAGAGCCACAATGTTTACTTTGAGGGTGGTTTGAGGCTCTGGAAAAGAGGAATTTAACAAGAAACATATTTGAGTGGGGAACTGTCAGCGAGAGAAAAAGAGGCTGTGCATGCATGAGGGGGTGTGGACAGTAAAGTGCCGGAGGGGATCGACAGTGAAGCTATGTGTGTGTGTGTTTGTGTGTGTGCGCACGTGCGTGTCTCAGTGTGTGGGACACTCAGTCAGTCATTCAGTTGGGCTGCTGCTGCCTCACGATGGCTGTTCTCTCTGCAGAGGCGCTCCGCTGGCACGTGAGTTTTTATTTCGGTGTTTCTGTTTAAACGTATCAAAAATGATAAAAGGAATAAGTTAATGTCTCTGCGTGTTGTTTTTATTTAAAAATATTCTGTTGTTTATAATCAAAGATGGCACAAGTACAGGCGAGCTCTCCAGCTCTTGTCTGTACACATAGTTTACAGTACGTTTGTTATAGTTTGTTTTTGGGGGAGATTTAGGCGCTGTGGCTTTCACCACTTGAGTGAAGTGGAGGTGTTGTTGCTGCGAGTGGCCCTGGGCTATCCGGCATGTCAGACACACTTCCTGACATTGAAACATAGATACAAATTGTAGATAACCAAGAGCATGACTCATCTTGGTTGAGTGCAGCCGTGCTGGGAAGCGAGCAATAAACTTTTATTAGTAATAAAAAAAGCAGTTTTGGCATGACATAAGTGGAACAGAAATGATCTGTGGATGATATACTTCTGTTAGATCATTCTGATGATTTTGAACAGAATCCAGTAAAATAAAATCAAAGCACAGTAGGTGTACACAGAAGGTTCTACGTGTACTGTAAGCTGTGGTAGAGGGAGTTAAGCTTTCACTAAGAATAACAGTTTGTATTATGGGAGGATCTTTACCTTAATAAAATGTATATAAGTGTGTAAAATGCCTTGAGGCAACTGTTGTTGTGATTTGGTGCTATGTAAATAAAAGTGAAATGCCTTAAGAGGACACTGGATATTTAAAGTTCAAAAGCAAAAGTGTTTAAAAAAATGACACTACGTTTTCTACACATTATAACATATTGTGCTAACTGATTCATTCATTCATTTTAGTGCTGTTAGCCTGTGCTGAGGTCTCATGAACCTGCTGGGAAGCTCATATTTTATTACACAAGTGTGTGTCCTGGCCTTCTTTTCCCCCCTGACCCCCAAACCGGATGGAGCAGATAGTAAAATGGGAGTTTTCCTTCCCACTGTTAGCAAATTCATGCTCATAAGGAATTGTTTGATGACTGGGATTTTCCCTGTAATATTTTGGAGTCTTGACCTTAGAATATAAAGCGCCTTGATGTGCTTCTGCAACTGATTTGAATTGAATTGCATGTAAAAATCAAACGGATCATACAATTCACATGCATTTTACATGCAATCATAATAACTTCTCCTCATATCTAAGTGTAAACTTACATGAAGTGATTGAACAGAGTAGATATTCCTGGTTTTGTTCCAGGATTGTTTA